GGAAGATGGTGATGATGATGAGGAGGAGGATGATGATGATGAGGAGGAGGAGGAGGAGGCGGAGGAGGAGGAGGAGGAGGAGGAGGCGGAGTGGGGGAGGAGGAGGAGGAGGAACATGAGGAGGAGGAGGATGAGGAGGTGGAGGAGGCGGATGATGAGGAGGAGGAGGAGGACGAGAATGATGAGGAGGAGGCGGAGTTGGAGGAGGAGGAGGGGGATGAGGAGGAGGCGGATGCGGACGGGGAGGATGACGAGGAGGATGCGGCGGAGGAGGGGGGGTGATGATGATGATGAGGAGGAGGAGGATGAGGAGGAGGATGAGGAGGAGGAGGATACGGAGGGGTGGGTATGCTGCTGCTGGGGATGATGCTGATGCTGATGATGATGCTGGTGCTGCTCATGGTGTTCATGATGGTGATGCTGATGATGATGATGCGGACGATGCTGGTGGCGGTGGTGTTCCCGATGTTGATGCTGGTGATGATGCTGATGATGGTGATTATGTTGATGATGATGATGATGACGATGCTGATGTTATTGCTGATGATGAGGATGATGATGCTGATGATGCTGATGCTGATGATGCTGCTGATGGTGCTGTTGTTGCTGACGATGCTGATGATGGTGTTGATGCTGCTGATGAGGATGCTGCCGATGGTGCTGATGAGGATGATGCTGATGCTGATGCTGACGATGACAATGATGCGTATGGCGATGACGATGATGATGCTTGTGATGCTGCTGTTGATGATGCTGCTGATGATGCTGATGACAATTAGGATGATGACGAGGCTGCTGCTGATGATGATGCTGCTGGTGACGATGACGATGATGATGACGATGCTGCCTCTGCTGATGATGCTGAGGATGGTGATGCTGCTGATGATGCTGATGCTGCTGATGGTGATGGTGATTGTGACGGTGATGCTGATGATGGTGTTGGTGCTGGTGATGATGGTGGTGATGATGATTCTGATGATGATGCTGCTGTTGATGATGATGCTGATGCTGTTGATGGTGCTGACGATGTTGACCGCGATGATGATGATGCTGATGACGATGCTGGTGGGGATGTTGATTACGATGATGGTGGTGATGATGCTGCTGATGATGCTGCTGATGAGGATGATGATTGTTGTGATGATGATGATGGTGATGATGATGATGCTGTTGCTGATGATGATGATGCTGCTGCTGATTATGATGATGCTGATGACGATGATGATGCTGATGATGACGATGATGATGATGATGATGATGCTGTTGCTGATGATGATGATGATGACGATGATGATGATGATGCTGTTGATGCTGCTGATGAATATGATGATGATGATGATGATGATGATGATGATGATGATGATGATGATGATGATGATGATGATGATGATGATGCGGATGGTGATGTTGATGAGGCTGATGATTATGATGATGAGGGGGAGGAGTCGGATGAGGCCGAGGAGCATGAGGAGGGGGAGGCTGAGGAGGATGATGAGAACGACGAGGAGGAGGAGGAATATGATGAGGATGAGGAGGAGGCGGAGGGGGAGGATTAGGACGAGCAGGATGAGGCGGAGGAGAAGGCGGAGGAGGAGGCGGATGGAGTGGGGGGGGGGGGGGAGGAGGAGGAGGAGGAGGAGGATGAGGAGGAGGAGGAGTATGGGGTAGGGAGGAGGAGGGTGAAGCGGTGGAGGCGGAGGCGGAGGCGGAGGAGGAGGAGGAGGAGGAGGAGGAGGACGAGGAGGATGAAGCGGAGGAGTGCGAGGAGGAGGCGGAGGAGGACGCGTGGGAGGAGACGGCGGAGGAGAATGACGATGCTGATGTGGAGGAGGAGACGCAGGAGGAAGAGGAGGAGGATGAGGCGGAGGAGGAGGAGGCTGAGGAGGAGGAGGCGAGGGTGGGAGGAGGATGAGGACGAGGATAAAGGAGGAGGAGGAGGAGAGGGAGGAGGAGAAGCACGAAGATGAGGGGGAGGAGGAGGGGGAGGACGAAGAGGATGACCAGTAACCCGTACAATACTACTACGAAGAAGGACGCGAATAGCATTACTACGCATACACATTTTAATATTGCTATGGCTACGACGGTTACTACTGCTATCGCTAACACGAATATTAATACAACTACTATAATTAGAAGCTCATGGTAAGGCTACTGCGGATACGCCATCGACGGCTAGTAATACTGCGTATATGATTGCATTCATGAGAAGAAGAATACGACGCATCGCACGGCGGCTAAAATTATTAATGCTAGTAATTCTAGTACGAAGAATACGAACCATACTATGGTGGGTGACTCGTGTGGCTAATACTGAGCACGACTACCACTGCTACTGATCGTGCCACCAGTAATACGATTACCCATAACACTAAGGACCATTAAACCACAGTGCTACAATCAAGACTGTTACCACGAATACGTATTAGTATTACCACTCATAATACGATGGCTGAGACGACGCATGCGACGACTAAGAAGGCGCACGCGACTCCTAACAGCATTACTAACACTGGACATACGACCACTACGAAGACAACTCAACCGACCACTAACACGGCGGCGACTAAACCTACGCATACGAGCAACGCAAGACGATCACCACCACCACCGCCACCACCATCACCACCACTACTACGACTTCTACTACTACTACGACGACGGCTACTACTACTACCACTACTACTACTACTACTACTACTACTACTACTACTACTACTACTACTACTACTACTACTACTACTACTACTACTACTACTACTACTACTACTACTACTACTACTACTACTACTACTACTACTACTACTACTACTACTACTACTACTACTACTACTACTACTACTACTACTACTACTACTACTACTACTACTACTACTACTACTACTACTACTACTACTACTACTACTACTACTACTACTACTACTACTACTACTACTACTACTACTACTACTACTACTACTACTACTACTACTACTACTACTACTACTACTACTACTACTACTACTACTACTACTACTACTACTACTACTACTACTACTACTACTACTACTACTACTACTACTACTACTACTACTACTACTACTACTACTACTACTACTACTACTACTACTGCTGCTGCTGCTGCTGCTGCTGCTACTACTACTACTACTACTACTACCACCATTACCACCACCACCACCCCTACTACTACTACTACTACTACTACTACTGCTACTACTACTACTACTACTACTAATACTACTACTAATCCTACTGCTACTGCTACTGCTACTGCGGCTGCTACTGCTACTGCTGTTGCTACTGCTACTACTGCTACCATTATTGCTGAATCGTAGTGTTTTTGATGCAAGTACGAATGGTACTTATACCAAGACACATGACATTATTAACATTACTACGACGACTACTAGTATTAATACTATTTCTCGTGTCAGACTAATACGATTACTGCTAACACTACTGAATAAACTTCCAGGACGAACGAGCACAAGAGGACGAGGAGGCGGATGAGGAGGAGGAGGACGAAGACGAGGACGACGAGGAGGAGGAAAAGGAGGCGGAGGAGCAGGAGGAACACTAGTCATAATGATCAGAAGGGAGACACATATGAAGACGGAGACGAGTACTAACAAGAAGGGGAAGGAGAGGAGTAGGAGGAGGAGGACGAGGAGGAGGAAGAGGAGCAGGAGGAGGAGCAGGAGGAGCAGGAGGAGCAGGAAGAGCAGGAGGAGGCGGATGAGAAGGAGGAGGAGGAGGAGGAGGAGGAGGAGGAGGAGGAGAAGGACGAGGAGGGGGGATGTGGACGGGGAGGCGGAGGCGGAGGCGGAGGAGGAGACGGAGGACGAGGAGGAGGCGGAGGAGGAGGAGGATGAGGAGGGGGATGGAGAAGGGGAGGGTGAGGAGGAGGAGGGGGGTGAGGAGGAGGAGGAGGAGGAGGAGGATGAGGAGGGGTAGGCAGACCAGTGCAAACCGAAAACTCACCAACGGTGTTGGGATACACCGTCCTTCCATGCTCTCTGTTTTGCCCCCTATAAGGATTCACTACCACTGAGGGAATGACCCCGTTTGGAGACAGCTGTGTGGAAATCCAGGCGCGTGCCAAAAGAATTTCCAGGACTTCAACGCCACGAGTCAACTTGACTGTTGTGTCTTGACGATCCTGAATCGTGTCAGCAAACCATGCCCAGGACTTCAACACCGCGAATCCAATCATCTTTTGCGCCTCCAACATCCTGAATCGTTCGGACACATTGTACTAGACAGCTAACCATGAACATCCGACGAATGTTCGCGGCACTAAGGCGAGAGCCACAGTTTGAAAAGGAACCGCTCTCAATCAGTGAGGGTGGAGACTTTTATTCAAGACGAGTGTGCGTGGCTCTAAGGCGAGAACCACATGATGGAAAGAAACCGCCCTCAATTCGTGACGTTCTTGCACATATAAAACACTGTGCGCGGCGCTAAGGCGAGAACCACATTTTGAACCACCCGCTCGCAATTCGTGAAGCTCTTGCGAATTTTCAAGACGAGAGTGCGCGGTGCTGAGGCGATAGGCACGTTTTGAAAGCGACCCGCCTTCGATCCGTGAATCTCTTGCAACTTTCTAACACGAGTATGTGCGGCGCTAAGGCCAGAACCGCATTTCGGATCCGACCCGCCCTCCAAAAGTGAAGCTGTTCCCAGTTTTTAAGCTTTAGGCTCAATAGTGGTAAGGAAGTCGCAGTCGAAACGCCTGGCTCGCCATTCCGACAGGCCTCGGGGTGCGACAGGGAACAGTGACTCAGAAAGGGCAAGGAATGGAGGAGGAGGAGGAGGACGAGGAGGAGGAGGAGGAAGAGGAGGAGGAGGATGAGGAGGAGGAGGAGGTGGAAGAGGAGGAGGGGCAACAGGGGGAGCAGGAGACGAACGAAAGATGTGCAGGAAGGAGGACAAGCGTCGAAGGACGATGCTGAGAGGAAGTTGAGAGTGACATTTCCCTTACTCACTGCGCCCGCGTGCAGAATACACGCTGCGCTGGGTCATCGCCGCGTGAGGCGCCACGGCCGCTTCGGGGGGGAGGAGGCCCAGAGCGCTCACGCTGGGCGCCCCTTCCTCCTTTCTCCTCTTCCTCGTTCGTCGTCGTCGTATTCTACCACCTCTTCTTCCTCCTTTTCTTCCTCCTCCTCCTCCTCCTTTCCTCCTCCAGTACCTCCTTCCTCCCTCGTCGTCGTCGTCCTCCTCCTCCTCCTCGTCCTCCTCCCTCCCCTCCTCCTCGTCCTCCTCCTCCACCTCCTCCTCTGCAGCTCGTGCCCGCTCTAAGGTGCATGGTCGGCTGCGTGCTTCTGCCCGACGCTCTCGAGTCATCCGCCCTATCGCCTCTTCCCTCCCCGTCCCCGCCTCCCCTGCGGCACCTCCAGAGTTCTGAAGACATTCCACCTCGTGCCCGACTTTCGCGCCGCGCCCCTGGCAGCCAGTTGCCGGTTCGTCTGAGGCTGGACTGCCAGGGGTCGCGCGCGCGCCGGCCTGGCTTCTCTGTAGTTCCGCAGTGCCCCTGGCAGCCAGTTGCCGGTTCGTCCAAGGCTAGTCAGTTGGGGGCCCGCTCGGTGCTCTCCTCGAGCCTTCTCTGGATCAACTTCAAGTGGTCCAAGTGACCCAAAGTGGTGCAATCGATTACCGGCCCAGATTTGCGCCCACACTGAACCAGTGCGTAGTCTTTTTCCAGCCGCTGGTGCTGCAGGCGCGCTGGGAGCGATCTGCTCGCCATCGAGGCTCGGGAGGACGGAACCCACGGACATCTGCCCTCGTCTCGTCCCTTTCTTGTCCGCCTGCCCTCTCCTCTTTCATTTCAGGGGTGCGCCTCCTCCTCCTCCTCTTCCTCCTCCTCCTCCTTTCCTCTCACTGCTTGGGGACTCCCAAGTGCAGTTTTGATGCTTATAGTGTTATCTGATTTTCGGCTTGCTCAGATGGCCGTGAGTCAGTCATACGCCGTTGCAGGCGCGGCACACCAATACCGTGAGTGTCAACGACGATGGACGCTTGCGCCCACTGAATTTTCGAGGGTTGCGACGCCAGGAAGATGGGCCCTGTATTGGGGCACCCTCAAGGCATATTGCCTCCTGCTCCCCCCCCTCTCTCTGAGTTCAGTGCCTATGACAAGACGTGCTTGGAATGCTGTCAGGCGCCCGAGTCTCCCCAGGCTGCTGACGGCTGGGGTGAGGGTGCCTGCTGGCCGCCACAGCGTTCTTAGGCGCGTGGTGTTGGGAGGAGTTTTCTTGGGCCAGTTCGTGCTCATGCTCCTCCTCCTCCTCCTCCTCCTCCTTTCCCCTCCTCCTCCTACTCCTCCGCTTCCGCAAGGGTGTGGCACTTCACGATGGGCCAGCAAGGAGTATTCTTCGGTGGCCCCGCCATTGGCCACGCGAGCAGGACATCCGGTGGCGCCGTAGTGACGGGAGGGGCGGGACTTGTCCTCTTCAGCCTGGCCGTGTCGGCCCGTCTGTGTGGGTGGTGACCCAATGGCGCCGGCCACGCGCTCCTCCTTGGGGGCTCCACGCCTAGGGTGGGTCTTTTTCGCCCTCCCCCCGCCTCTCGTGTCCCTCCCCGTGCCGTCGCTTCTCTCCTCTTCTCCCCCGCCGTTGTCGCCGTCGTCGTCGACGGGGGGCGGTCCTCTGCTTCCCCTTGGGGCTGCGCTCCCCCGCGGGGGTGTCGCCTGAGAGAGTCGCGGCGGCTGCACGGCGACAGCGTTGAAGGCCTGTGCTGCCAGCTGCATGGCGGTCGAAGGTCTTGGGAAAGGCTGGCCCAGGTAGATTGGGCTGTAGTTCAGATGTGCGTCGCGTTTTTACCACGTCTTTGATTTTTATCCCTCCCTCCCTCGTTGTTCTTCCTCATCCGCCTTTTTGCCACGCATTTGTTTCCCCTGCAGGCCTTTACGAACTTTCAGGCAATTCGTATCGTCGTCTGCGTCCTGGAATCGTGCGTATGTCAGCCCACCTTTGATAGGCATCTCTTTCTCTTTCTCTCTCTCTCTCTCTCTCTCTTTCTCTCTCCTTTTCTCACTCTTCCTTACTCTTTCTCCCCCTCTCTCTGGTGTCCTTCTCTTTTTTCCTTCCCTTTCCGTCTTTATTCCTCGGGGGAGCCACGGATGCATGGGCAGCCTGGTATTCAATTGGCGCCTGGACGCCGTTTGCACGGTCAGGGCGTATTGGCAGGCTACCAGCCACCCGGAGCATGGAGCCGCTCTGCCCCCCGGCAGCCGCCCCGGACCCGCTCCTCCTGCATCTCACGGTGGCGCCCGCTCGGCGATGATGTGCGAAACCGCGGGCGTGCCTTAATTGCCCCGTTCACCGCCTCGTCTCGTGAGTGCGGGCACCATCGCAATTGAACATCTGTTCCTCCTCCTGCTCTGCTCCTTGTCGTCTCCCTCGACTTGATAGCAGACTGGGTTAGGTTTCTATTATGTACTGCTCTGCTATGTTTGTGGGCAGTGCTATTTGTCGGCAGCTGCGGGCACGTTCACTCCGAAGTGGTGCGATGTATTTTCTCCAGGTTTCGCTTGCACGTCTTCGTAAGTGCGATGTTCCCCAATCAGAGCTTGCTTCTGTAGGGGTCCTAGCGGATATAAAGCTGAGGTGAGGTGAGCGGCCGATTTCGGTGGCCGGGGCTGGGTGCCCGGGTGCCCAGGGTGCCCGGGTGCCCGGGGGTGCCCGGGTGCCCGGGGGTGCCCGGGTGCCCGGGGGTGCCCAATAGCCCAGTAGCCCTATAGCCCTATAGCCCTATAGCCGTATAGCCCTATAGCCCTGTAGCCCTATAGCCTTATATCCCGATAGCCCTAATAGCCTTATATCCCTATAGCCCTATAGCCCCATAGCCCATATAGCTCTATAGCCCCATAGCCCTATAGCCCTATGGCCCTATAGGTCACAGTCCTTTAGCCCTATAGCCTGATAGCCCTACAGCCCGATAGCCATATAGCCCTATAGCCCAATAGCCCTATAGCCCTATAGCCATCTGGCCCTCACAAAAATATGATTGTTTTTTTTCTCCGGTATCATATTTTCTCCAGGTTTCGCTTGCACGTCTTCGTAACCCGATGTGTTGCGTTTGATATTCTCCACGCTCGCAGAACAGCCTGTTGAGTAGGCTTGCTACACGGCCCGGGTAATATTTCTGCATTTGCCTGGTGTGTTATTTGCCTTGTCCGTGGTGTGGGATCGCCCCCTTGAGGGACAACGGGTTCTCCCTTCAGCCTTGCTTTCCTGCAGAACAGAATCCAGGGCCTGGGCGATGTCAACACGACGGCGGCCATTTTGGTAAATCTGCAGCTGATGTGCATGCAAATGCACCTCTTTAAGTGCGACGACGCCATGGGCCGCCAGCTCGATCGCATACGTACGTGTCCTTGACGTGGAGAGAGCCTGAGCAGGTCAATGTTGGGCCAGGCAGTGGTGTTGCTCGGCGGGATGCGCGGCGCACCCAGGAGCAACATATGTGCATAGTGGTTGATCGTGTCTCAGTCATCGCGTCGGTCAGCACGCGCGCAGAGTCTTGGTACCGAGCTGTTAAAGGACATCAGCTGCCAACTCGGCTTTTTGTAAAGCGTGTCTTTCTGGCGTGCAAACTGATGTCCTTGGCGGCGGGGACTGAAAGTGTTCATTGGAAGGGGAGTGCACGCTTTGTTGTCATCGGTTGCGGCTTGACTGCCGAGCAAGGAGCAGCAAGAGCTGCTGGGCAGCACGGTGACTCATCTCGCCGAGCTCGCTTCGGAAGGCCTGGAGTGCATGCGTGTAGAGGATGGACGAGCGTCGCGCCCCCTCGACTGCAATGCTGGTCCGAACCAAGAACGGGAGAGACGAAATGATCTTATCCGGGTGGAGGAGGTTGAAGAGCGCGGTATGGGTGCGGAAGGTGGAAGTGTCATGTCGATTATGCGGAAGGACCTTTGCGCACCCCGCACGCATGTGATACAGTCGCCTTGCCGAACTAACCTTCGCCAGTTCTCCAGCCTGACTGGCCAGCGCACCAGGTGTGAAACTTTCCACACCATCCCCTTTCGTAGCTGGGCGGCTTGTCAGATTCATGTCGTTTTTATTTTTATTCGATGTTGCGTCGTCGACCTAGGCGCAACCAGAGGGCCTCGGAGGATATTCGCATGCGGCACGTTTCCTTTTTTCCCGGGCCGCAGTTCACTGCTTGAGTTTGCTTATCGCAGACCACCTCTTGTGGAGTCTTCAGTTTGTTTGGTGACCTTTCGATTGGCACAGCAATGGCGGCCGAGTCGTGTAATATTCTATGATCTCGTTCCCTCTTCCTCCTCAAAAATCAGGAGCTTGGAGTACTGACATGCCCTTGACACCAGGACATTGCCGCAAACGGTTTCGAGCCGCAAGCTCGTCTGGTGCAGCGCGCTCCTTTCGTTCCAGATGCTCGGGCTCCAGGAACAGTTAGAATATCTGCGCCAATGGCGAGGCCGTTGAGGCGGGCCAGCGTTTGGCTGCTCAAACGGCGAGGAATGCAGGCCGCTGCAAGATTGACTGATGATCGGCACATGAAGGCGCAAAAAACTGTCGACTTGGAACATGGGCCAGGAGGCAGGAGGCCAAGATGGCGGTCAGCGTCCAGATGGTTGTTCACCATCGCTCTTGGCTTTCTGGTGCTCCCTTTGTTGGGCAGTCTCGCAGTGGTCAGCGGCGCGGTCTTCGCAATGCGGTAGTCCATGATTCAGATCAGTTCCACCACGGAAGGGGACAAGCGCTACCGACTGGAAGCTATGAAGCCCAGAGGCAGTCCGCCCTGCGGGAACCATAGTCCCAGTCACCAGACCAGCCGCTGGCCGAGGGATTGACTTACATCTCCTCCTACCCTCGCTCTCCCCCTCCCTCTTTCTCCCCTCTTCCTCCTCCCCTCCTCCCTCTCCTCCTCCTTTCGTCCTCCGCTTCTCGCTTCGCAGTTCGGTCGGTCCTCGAGGTTCGAGGGTCGAGGTCTTTGGGCGCTCTTGTGTCTTCTTGGACCTCTCGGGGGCTCCTCCTCCTCGCAGCTGGATCCGCCGCGAAACCACAATCAGAGCGCTCCCCAGCAGAGATCCTTGACGTCCTCGATGCATCGGCGGTGCGGTGTGACCGCTGGGGCCCCGTGCGCCCCTGCCGCGTTGAGGAGGC